CCCTTTCTTCCCGTCCTGTCGAATTGGCGACGGCGATGGTTCCGGCGCTAGGCGAATTACCCGTGGGCTCCGTGCAGGCGCCAGGCAGCCAGGGTTGCGTGGGTTGTCAAGTGCACATGTGTGTTAGCGGTTATCCCTGCTTGTTGATTTGATCTAGAGGTAAATGTAGTATCTGATTCGGTGCTTTACTCGATATGCAGTGTATAGATGTACTATATGGAGGATTGATTGTGCATGAACACATACTACTACTACCTCCTGTCACTCTTCTGAGTATATACTCCGAGGAAACACAATGCATAACAGCACAACACCAATGGAACCAATCACCAACATTACCAACCCAAACAAGCAACATAAGCTCTGGCCGCCTGTCAGCAGTATACAAGCGCCTGAACTTGCCCTGGCCATAATATTCCACATCCTTCAAGCATAGGACTATCACCACCACCTTACCTACTACTAGTTGCACCCCACATCCTAGGCACGACCACCGAATCCACCCAAAGCACAGATCTAAAGCAGCCTCACCATCCTCTATGCCTACAGCACAATTAGCATGCAGAGTACTTACATAGCTAGTAGTCGTACCAACCCATTATCGTCTAAGACAAATAACCCTTTTCCCGAGAGGGATCTAGTACCGCCGCCACCAGATAAACAACCAGGCACCAACATACGCAATGCCTCCAGCCCAGCAAGCCACAATGGACTACTATACCATCATATCTTTCAGTCAAGATAAGTAAATCCTCCCATCCAGGAACATTGGTGCCTAAACGTCCATTCATCCCAGGCATCCAGGTTAACTAACTTCCCTGCCAAGAGACTGGAACCCCAAACCCCGAACTTGTGTCTTACTACACATAGTACATTCAACAATATACACAACCATATTGAATCTATGAAAAGACCAGTCCAGACACGCTGTACTCCACTACAACCCAGCAGGCATCAGCAGAATATCCGCCCAGAACCATCTATTCAAGGCATCTCCATAGCGTACCATTCATCACATGACGATGATAATGTGCATATGAAGGTTGAAAGCCATCCAAACATACATACACCGAAAGACAGATATATACATACGAGAGACTAGGCAACAAGCAAGACGCACACCGCACACACCCATATCAGAAGATAGAAATCACCGGTAGGCATCTCTATTACTAACAAACATGAAAGCTCAGTTGTTCATGCACATGTACACATACGGATGCCGTTTCGATTCTCCGGGTTTGATGGGGTACAGTTCGAATCGACAGTGGTGGTATAAACACCATAGATAACCTGCTTAATAAGGGCACTGGGGGGTGAATTGTATTTTCTTGTTGATATATATCTGTGGTGCTTTGCTGAGCTTTCGATCTACGTGCGGAGAACCTTATTGAAAAGGAACAGTCAAAGTTTCGACTTTTGCCGCATGCCATGGTTGGATAGTAGATTATGTTGGGTGTAGACTGCCACTTGAGGTAAAAAAGAAAAGACTCCATATAAATACTTACAGGATTATGTGCATTGCAATGCATAAAAGAGTAAAAAGTAAAAAGCAAAAAGGAAATTGAGCTCCGATAGGGGGAATCGAACCCCCGGCTGCCGTGTGAGAGACGGCGATGTTAGCCACTACACCATATCGGATACTTGTTGAATGGTATGTCATATTATGCCCTTATCAGCAACTATTATTGCAGCCGCAAGCTCAAACGTCCATGCACACCTTGTATGATAAGCTTACATTGAAGAGTCCCCACCCCATACACCAAGTGGACCGCCAGCACGTTACACCTGTTGCCCAGTACAAAGTGCGACAATCACCCAACTGCTCGGATACACTACTACTAAGGCATCTGAAACAAATATAGTGGATCATATACTAACAATACGTGGATTCTATTAAGTATTACCTCATGATGCTGTGCCATGTATACATGGCGCTATCAGCACTGTCACCATAGAGTCATGGTAGTCGACGGTTCGGGCCAATTTGAGTGGAGGGAATTTCCCCATCCAGCTGGCAAAAAGCACCCTTCCTCCCAGTAGGGTATCAAGACAAAAGCATCAAACAGCAACATGAGAACATCAAAGAGCAAGCAATAAACAGCAACAAGTGGTATCAATCTAGTTTGGTCGGCGCACAACATGAACACACAAGGCCAGTTGGGTATCCTTGCGGAACGCATATCATAAAGGAATGAAACGCAGCACCGGACACGCAATTGACATCCGGGCTCGGAAATGACCGCCAAAGCAGCAGAGGGTATCATTGACACTCGTTTTGGCAGACCTCGCCTTGCACAGGAGAGGGATACCAGAATGGTGGCAGTGGAAACATCAATTAGACACAAAAACAACAATCATTGGTTTTCTTGGATGTATTTTTTTCTTTTCTGGGCTTTTTAATTTCCAGAACGACTGATCATCGAGAAGTTCAAGGGTAAGGATACGAATACCGCTGGTCCCACCATTTCTCACACTTGACGTCCCTGCGGGAAGCACTTCATGCAGCAGCCTGAACAGGAGTAGAGGTGGCGACATCGACGGGCTTGGACTCCTCCGCGGGAGCAGCCTCAGCGGGCTTAGCGCTCTCCTCAGGAGACTCCTCGACGGTAGCATCCTTGGGGGTAGCCTCAGCCTCAGCGGCCTCCTTAGTATCCTTGGGCTCGGACTTCACGGCCTTGCTGGGCTTGCGGAAGATGCCACCAAGCTTGTTGCCCTTGGGCTTGGGCTCGCCATCAGCACCCTCGTTGTCGGAGTCACCCTTCTTCTTGCCGAAGTTGCCGAAGAAAGAGGTGCGACGCTTGTCCTTGGGAGTCTCAGCAGCGGGAGACTGAGCGGGAGTGGCGTCCTTGGCAGCCTCAGCCTCAGCGGGAGCAGTCACGCTCTCGGGCTCGATGGGCTTCACAGCGGCCTCCTCAACGGGGTTGTCCAGCTGAGGAGCAGTGCTAGCGACAGCGGTCTCGGCAGGAGCAGTGGCCTCCTTCTCCGACTTCTCGTGAGAGGGGCTGGTGACCTTCTGGAAGAAGTTGCCGAAAAGAGAAGCGCGCTTAGACTTGGGAGCAGGGGTCTCCGCCTTCTTCTCTTCCTTCTCCTCCTTCTCTTCCTTTTCTTCCTTCTTGTCACTGGCTTCAGCAGGAGCAGCTAGGTTGGCGTTAGCATTTGGAACACTCCTGGTATTCATATACGGTAACATACCCTCAGTGGTCTCAGCGGCAGCAGAAGCCTCAGCAGCAGGGGCCTCAGTGGCAACCTCAGCAGGCTTAGCCTCCTCGGCCTTGTCCTCCTTGGCCTCAGCAGGGGCAGTCTCCTCCTTGGCCTCTTCCTTCTTTCCAAGCAGAGTTCCGAAGATGCTGGCCCTCTTGCGAGACTGAGAGCGGCTCTTGGAGGCAGCCTTGTCCTCCTTCTTGTCCTCGGCGGGGGCGGCCTCCTCCTTAGGCTCAGCCTTCTTAGCGGGCTCGGCAACAGCGGGCTTGCCTGGTGGCTGTTAGTCGCCGAACATTACGCGCTCTTCAACTACGGATGCGACTTACTCAGCTTCTCGAGCTCGGCCTTGTAGCCCTCGCTAGAGGTCACAGCCTCCTTCTCAGCCTTAGCCTCAGCAGCCTTAGCCTCGAGGGCGGCAATCCAGCTGTCACGCTCGGAAGTGCTAGCGGCCTGGAAGGTGTGCTTCTGGCCGTTGACCTTGAAGTGCAGCTCGGTGGAACCTTCCTTGGCAATGTCGGAAACATCAGCCTGGCAAGCGAGTTAGCAACTGGCGCAACATTTATCCGAGTGCCTATTATGTTTACTGACCAGGTTGAAGATACCGGCGGGGGAGGCCTTGTCCTCGGCGCGCTTGGTGAAGAACAGAAGACCCTTGCCGGTCTGGCTGGCCCAAGCGGCGATAGGGTTGGCGATAGCGGCCTTCTCGTTCTGGTGGAAGGCAGACAGCTGCTTAGACTCAACAGCGTCGTCGCTGAAGTAGAAAAAGCGCTTGGCGAAACGGAGGCCCCTGTTTTGTGTCACACACCATTAGTCACTGCATACTATGGGGGTTGTCGCAACAAGTGGAGCCTTACTTGACGAGACCAGGGGCCTTGTAGCCCAGGACACCCTCAGAAGCGGGGGTCACCTCCTCCTGCTTGGGCTCCTCCTTGGGCTGTTCGGCGGGAGTTTCATCGGCCTTGGACTCCTCTGCGGCGGCGGGGGCAGCAGCCTCAGTGGTCTCAGCGGGAGTCTCCTGGGGGGCCTCAGCAGCGGGGGTCTCGGTGGCCGGGGTCTCGGTGGCAGCAGGCGCTTCAGTAGCAGGAGCAACGGCGGGGGCAGCCGCAGGAGTCTCCTCGACAGGCTTCTGGACGTCGGACATGGTGTCGGGTGGTGATTAGACGGGTAATTATAATCAGTAGGGATGGGATTAAATAAGAGCTAGAGAAGCTGGCGAAGCTTCGAAAATAAAGGCGCGCGTCGAGTAGGGTATCTCTTTAAGGGGTATCTCAACAGAAGGAAACAAAAGCTCTCTTTGCGCAAAGCTAGAAGAGCTCGGGTATCACAAGGAAGGGGAAAAGGTGGGTGGGAAAAGAAATGAACCCGGCGACGGACAGTCACGATTAGAATGTATATGAAGAGGAGAAGAAGAGGAGGAGAAGAGAAGAAAGAAGCAGAAGAAGAAGAGGAAGGAAGCGACAAGAAAAAGAGGGGAGGGAGAGCAGGAGCAGGGGCCGAAAGGAGGGCGAGGGCGAGGGCGAAAATGAAAGGGTGTGGGCGACGAGGCCTGGTCATTGGCGCATCGTCCCAAACAGGCAGGGAGCTGCAGGGCGGCACTAGAGCCTAGACTGAAAGAGGGTGGGCCTGATACTGGGATGGCCGCTCCAGGGCTAAACTCTCCTGGGTTTAGTGTCTAGTCACTTGGATGGTGGTGTGTGTGTGTGTTCTCTGTGACTTTTTTTTTTTTTTCTCTTCCTTTTTTTCCTTTGATTTTTTTTTTTTTTTTTTTTTTTTCCTTTCTGAATATCATATTTGATTTTTATTTTTTCTTCCCTTGCCCTTTTACCTAACAATCAGGGGTTGCCCCCCCCATTACCTACTTCGATTGACCCATCATCAGACCATTCGACCAAGGAAAATAGAAATAAAATAAAAAAAAATTACTACACACACGCAGATACATTACTATCTTCCCCCCCTTCACTATGGGGTTCTGTCAATCCAAATCTTTCACTGTGTATCTACACCTTATGTGGTTGAATTATATATGTAGTACTCCGGAGTAGTCTGCAGATCGACGCTCGTACCTTACTGGAAGTTCTGCTCCATAGTGGTTCAACCTTCATGGTAAGGAAGCCCGGAGTAACTCCGTCACAATCAGAATCCCGTTCGAGTGAAAAGGTGTCCATCGATGGAGAAGAGGGCCGGTTATTGGGTCCAAACTATAAATCAGGCCGTCGGGAGGTAATTCACTGGATGAAAAATTTTCTTAACGATGGCTCTTGCGCCGGTGCGAGAGCTCCTAACTACTCCCATCGGCCCAATAATAGGTAATAAATCCTCAACCCTTGGCCCCCCCTATGAGGTCAAAGGGCGGTTGAAACCATGGTGAATCGTTCCCCAAGACAGACAGCTCCTACGAGAAGCTAGAACTACCTTTCTTGATGACAGGTCGCCAGCTCCCCTCCATTCTTAGCTGGCTACCCGCCGTGCAGATTAACGGCTCGCGAGCAGTTGGCCTTAACCGCTGCTGACATGATTACCTTATCATCGGGGACTCCCCATCCAGACAGCTGAAACGAAACTTATCTGAAAGATCAGACGGGACGACAAAAAGAATTTTCAAGGCTAGGAATATTTTATCATATTTTTTTAAAATTTTTCTAATGTTTTAGACTCGAAAGAATTCATTAGACCACTTCTGAAGAATCTATGTTTACCCGTATCACCTGCTCACCGTGTTTGTGGGACCCAAGCCACCCATTCGGTCCTGATCCATGGTCTCCTATTCAGATCATCCTGGTGGGTTTAGCTTGTAGCTGGGCCGTTACACAACCATGGTTGAGTCAGTTCGCTGTTCCAATATTCAGACAAGTGGCATCTTCGCTGCTTCTCCTATTCCTTTACACTTTATCCTTTCATGCCCTGGTGTAGACTATAGGCAGGAGTAAGACAAGTGACTATGGATGGTGTATCAAGTTCAACGCAAATATTGTATGTTTCACATATACAAGTCTCGAAAGCAGGACATTCCCTGCCCAACCTGATCCACAAAGATCTCAAGACTTCTCCGTAGTCTTCGATTAGTTCCGACTATGGCATGTTAGTGAGCTAGTCAGGTGTTAAGCGCCGGGCTACTGCTAGAATTCCGTGTTTTAGTCTAGTTGAGGTATTCTGCCCGTAGGTTGCAATTTATTAGACGCTCGGTTACCGACCAGTCGTCGTTTTGGTTAACGATGTGCAGGATCTGTTCTGGAGGGAAAATCAATAATTTTTATTATCGTCGTCATCATTATCATCCTCCTCCTTCCCCATCCTCCTGCTCCGATGGCGGCGAACCTGTTTTATCTCAGGTATGGAAGAGGGGGAATACCAGTCCCAGCGGCAATCATGGCAACCCCATCCATGCGACAGGCAACCCCCTCGTGACAGCCCGACATTGTTGTGAATTCGGGGGCCAACCAGGGGCCAAGGACACCCTCCTTCTCAGCCTACTGCCTTGCCTTATCCGTGAGGATTCTGCGGCCAGTAGTACCTAGCAGATGGACTCGCGTGACAATACCCTGATCATGGCGCCTTCAATTCGACAACCTTGATAGGTCTGCCTCAAGTATCTGTGGCTTTGCGATCCCATCGTCGCATCCTATCTCACAGTCTCACAAGGACCTTTGAACTTTTTTTTCTCTCTTTGGTTCCTTTTTCCAAGCAGAATCTTGCAAGTATTGACTAGCGCGAAAAAGAAAAAAGATCGAAAATTCCATCCCTGCCCAACAAGGTCCATCAGTTCAACTTCCGCTCGTACTTTCGTACTTACTTACTTACGTTAGTAAGGGTAGGATGACTGGATAGCGCCATGGCGGGCGGACGAGCGACCCACATGTACCAACGCTATCATCATCCCCTGTCTCAAGTCACTTCAACTCAACTCCCTAGAAGGTCTGACCAGATGAACAAACAACCACCTCCTACATAACTACTAGTCAAGCCAGCCCTAGAATAAAACGCCTAGTTCCACCTCAGAATCAAGCACATTCCTTGACCAAGCTTCTCCTGACGATGAACCCCATTTCAATCCGGGCTCAAACCTATCCATACTGCACCCGATGAAAACGAAACTCATCCCATTCCCAAACCACAGCACACAATCATAGCTAACCACGGAACCAACAGTTACAGACTAACTTACATTACCGAGTGAGCATCATATGTCAAAGCACCGTCACCATCAGCAACTCGAAGGAAAAGAAGACAACGAGATCGTCACGCATGCTTTCCCTACACACATCCGCCATCAAATCATGATTGTCACTCGCCTATCATATCATACCCGAAATAGGAAATTCATTCAACATTAGAGCCGCCCGTGACTCGGGGGGCCCCGCCCCATAATAGTTACTTCTTCCATCGCAGCACTACCAACCAACTAACCATATACCTACTGTAGAGAGTAGCTGCTTACAATTTCTACCAGGCAGCTCAGTAAGTAATTTACTCTGTACCAGCAGCGCAGCTCCAATCGACCAAAGCACCTGCAGGGTACTTACTATCCATCCCGCACCAGTTCAAACGCCCCCGACCGACCGACCAACCAACTAGAAGCTTGCAGAAGAAAAGTAGATACTTACAGTAGGTATCTGCGACGGCAAGTGTAAGAAGAAGTGGATCCTAGCTAAACCACTAACTGACCAAGCAAGTAGCACCACCACCACCACCCCCTTTTTCGCCGTTGCGACAATCAACTTGAACGGCACCAACGACTTGCTTATCCCGGACCGCTATTAACCAATCAGACCACCGTCGATCTGATGATCAGGCTTGGCCCGTGTTGCAATGATGGCCGATTTGTCCTCTTTGCTTTTTTTCCTCTCTCCTCTTCCCCTCTCTGTCGGCAGTCAGGGTTAGTAGTCAGTCTTAAACAGTGGTGGAAGATTCCACCTTATGAAAGATGAGATGAAGAGAGAGCGTTGCAATGCGCGCATCTCATTGCGACTCGACTTGACGCTGATTCCAATGCTTGTCATTTACACAGCACTCTACGGAGTAAGTAGTACTTAATGTAATCTTAAAAGCTATCAAGATCATCACTGTAATAATCCTATCCCCATAAAAAAATTACATAAGATGGTTAGACTCCTACTAGTTACCAACCAACCCAACCCAACTTCCGCCCCCCAGACGGTACTCCGTAGCAACATGTATTGATTGCGCCATCTTGCATCTCGCTACTCCTCACCATCATACTTATGGAGTAACAGTAGATTATCATCACGCCCACTACCCAAATCATCCAAAATCAAATCAACACACATAAAAATAGATACTCTCTCTGACAAATTATCCACACTGCTTGCTTGCTTACCACATCTATCTACATACATCCCTCCGATATACTCCGCATTTGCAACATTTCCCAATCGAAGATAATAATGACGAATATTCCGCCACGGCACACGACACGGATTTGTCACTGACTCATTGTATCTTAATCTTGGGTTAATCGTATCAGAATGACCTTTCTTCTTCACCCTTCCGATCCATTACGTACTGATAACGGCTGCTAGCGTGAACAATCAATGACAACCGTTGGTTCCCAGTGACTTAAGAGTACGGATATCCAGCCCGAGCGAGCCACATGACTCACCGACTGACTTAATTGACAAACTGTATCTAGCTATAAGCAGTTGATGCTAAATACCCAAGGTAGACAGATAAGCAGCGGAATGTATAACGTGACCATCTCCCCCTCACTTAAGCCCCACCCAGTTTCAGTCGCCGGATGATTTTCGTGGCTGTGAGTAGCAGTAGAAAGAGAGAGAGAGCTGGAGAGAGATGTCGGAAGTACCTGCCGGTGATCATTCGACAGTATAGGTATTTGCCAAGCTACTGAGGATAATAACTACGAATGCCGTGGTTGGTTGTGATGATAGATTCCAGCTGTTGTTGATGGGGTGTGAGTGGAGGGGCAGCAGGGTCGTCTGACTGACGGATTGATCGGCTCGTGCTTGTCACGCCATTGTTCGATCGATCGTTGTCTGCAATCGCAATTACTTTTTCCTATTGGTGGGCGGAATGCTTTCCATGTACTCCGTGCCACTTGAGGGTGTCTTATGGGCTAGTGGTTGGTGTTGTCGGACCCGAGGACGATGGATATGGTTCGACTTTGCTAGTGGTTCGGTTCATTCCTCGTCGGCGGTCATGCGTTGTGGTGTCGGCTGGTGACAGATCCTCTCATGGGTCTTGAGGGTTGCGTGAGCGCCTACCCTTCTAGTGGTTGTATAATACAATCCCATCTCTGAATATGTAATCAAGAATAATATTCAAACGCATTCCACATTAGGTCATTACATATGCAACAAATGTCCACCCCAAAATGCGATACAGATTATGTGTGGCTTGCCAAGTACAGGACGGCATGAGGTAATCAAGCTGCCGTCGTAAGAACATATCTGGAAGCGGTCAGTTTTGCTCGTTTCAAGTATAGTTGGCGTCACTTACGAAGTAATACTGTCCATTCGCTCCGTCGTCAGCTTGAGGCTAACTGTTAGCAGCTCTCGCGCAATCTCTGGCTCACGCTCGCGCATTGTTTGCCATTTCTCCGCAGTCAAGCACCAGCTCACGCAGTCCTGCTCGGCTTTGACGGTTGCTGTCCGTCGCGTTTCGCTGAAGAATGGTAGCTCGCCACAGGGCCGTCCGGCGACAATGATTTCGAAGTATCGTCCTTGAGGCAGCTCATACTCTGCGCGTAACATTCCCGATTCCAGCAGATAAAAGCCTTTCGGAACATCGCCTTCGTGATACAGTACAGTGCCAGCCGCGTAGCTTTCGCGGACGAAATACGTGCAAGCCTTAAACCAAAAATCCTCGTTGCGAGACGTCAATCCCTGGAACGTCTGTAGGAGAAGCGGCAGGGGCTGTCGCATTGCGGACCATGCAGCTGGTTGAACAACCGCCATTTCGTTCTCGTGAAGAGTCGTTCTAGCGGCTTGCTGCAAGTACTGCTGACGAGGTGAACTTACTACCGCATCGCCGAGATGAGACTGACCCTGGGGCGTAGGTACTTCGAGGAAGGCTGACGACTTGTTCTTGCCGTTTAACAAGGCTTCCCTATGGCTGTAAAAGACCTTCAGGTAGTCATTCTCACAGAACTCGAGCGCTGAGTTTAGATCCTCGAAGATCTCAACTCCATTCACGGGCTCGAATAGCCCCACATTCTGGAGGCTTTTTCCAACGTCTCCTCCTACATCGAGGCCCGAGATTGTCATCTGCACATTTCGTTTTCTCAGAATACGGTTGATGCGAGTGAATGCTTCTGCTGCGGAGAAGTCGATGCCATAAACACGGGAGAAGTCCAGAATCAGGAACCTGATGGGGCGTTTGTTGAACGCTTCCTCCTCAATAAGTCCCCTCATGGTGTTTTCCACACTCACGATGGTCCCAAAGAACAGATATCCACCAAGCTTGATGATGAGTGACTGCTGCCCTGCTTCCTTCAGGAAGCTTTGCTGAATAGGCGGGCGCCTGACCGTTGAGCCGGTGAATCTGCCCGAGAAGGTGGCGCGAATGGCGGATTTGCGGGAAGTTTGGACGACAAAGCTTAGACACGCGAGAATGATTCCGACAAGTATACCGACTACGAAGTCCCAAGCACCCATGGTCGCAACGATGATCACAACCTGCAGGATTAGCCAAAGGCTCGTCAGAGGCATATGGATAAAGCTTACCGTCAGATACTCGTGTCGGTGCAATTTGCCCCACGTATCAACCAAGGCCTCCTGCATCAGCTCGATGCCCAACAGGAATATGAGCGCTCCTACAACCATTACTGGTATGAACCCGACAATAACTGGACCGATGACCATGATTCCTGCAGTAGCAGCTGCAAGCATGACCCCTGCCACACGAGAGTTGCCACCGCTATCAATGAACAGGAGACTGTTTGTATATACAAGGTAGTTCTGGAACAAGTCAGCATTTGATTCGGTGGGAGTCAGAGCACACTCACCTGAATACTTCCAGCGAAGCCAGACAAGGCATTGGTAACACCGTGAGCAATGAGTTCACGGTCGACATTGAGGTTATCTTCGCCGGTAGAGATGCCTAATGCTGGAACATTGATAGGCACGTGAAGTACCCCGAAGAACGTAAGTGCAAACATGGCAGGTATCGTGTCAAGGAATGCAGACCAATCAACAGCAGAGAAATCTAGAGCAGTCAGTGCGACGCACACTCGCTAAGACAAGAAGTCATCACTCACCATAAAGAGTATAGAAGTGGTACCACGGATTTGACGAAGATGGAGCATCGAATACCCACCCTTTGCCGCGCAAAGAATCCATAGGTACTCTGGCGCTGAACTTCACAATATAGAATACAATCGCCACGCCAATGAAATATCCACCAACCAAGAAGTTGGAACGTAAGAAACGCTTCAAAACAAGAAGACCAACGGCAAGCAACAACGGTGTCGTCCATAGAAATACCGTGTCCAGCTGCATAAGCCTTTCAAGTGTCCCCAAGCTGAAATCGAAAGCTCCCGGTAGTCGAGCAGACACTTCAAGACCCGTGAGCAGCAGGAAGAATCCCACACCACCGATGCATCCAATCAAGATGTGACGTGGGAAGAAACCAATCAGAGCACCCAGCTTACAAGTTCCCATCAAGAAGAAAACCAAACCTGTGAGAACCGAGCTGACCGAGAAGGAGAGAATTGTCGTGGCCAAGACAGCTTGCGGGTTGTCTTGACCCACCCGATTGAGAATGGTGAAGGCCATCTGGTGAAAGAATGGGACAACCTCGATCATCTCACTCCCAATTCCTCCTTTGAAAATGGAGCCCCCACATGAGAAGACCAGCTGTGAAATAATGGTACTGACGTAAAACATCGAGATACCGTCCGAGCCCAAATCAGCAAAGACCGGCTCGCTCAACGGGAAAAGAATCATGCCGTACGAAAGAGCGTCAAGGATATTGAGCAGAAGGCCAAGGAATACCGACGGCAGAAAGCTGAGCGGATAGACAATCCCATCTCGCCATACAGTCTGTCCGTCCCACGACTTCGGATTCGTTAGCGTACAGAAACACATCCTAAGCTTGTGAGCAGCTCCAGGAAGTACATCTGTTTTATTGTTCCCCGTAATGGCTTGGCTTTCAACATCACCAGTCCCTCCATAGCTCTGAAAAGGTCCTGCTTGTACTGTCTTGGGCAACAAAGAGGTCTGCTCGGTAGCAGGCGCACCCCCCGTTGCACCTCCTAGGGAATGATCCTCAGACGCTGCACTCTCGCTTAACTCATCCCAGTTTGAAGCTCTGTCCCGGTGATCTCGATCAGCTTCGGGAATGTCGGGTTTGCGCATTAGCTGTGTTAAGACCGACGAACCGGTGGTGGGGACGGAGGAAGGACCGGGTTCTAGAGTCGTCCTTCCTTGCGCTGCGAAACTGATTGCTGGAGAAGATGGGCGGTTCGGACTTTGGGAGGAGTGGAAAATATCCAAGGAAGGGGGAAGAGTATTCGATTCATGAGATAATGCAAAGGACGCCAGTTCGGCCGTCTGCTCCCTGAGGCCATGGGTTGAATAGTGCGCCGTGTCTAGGTTGTAAAGGTCAGATCTGGATACATCAAGAGATGACAAACTTTTCTCGCGGATCCAAAGTCTGGGAGGAGGTCTCTGTAGCTGCGTACCTGCTGGAGTATGGAATGATCGGTGGTAAAAGGACCGGCTTGGGGTTCGGAAGCTGGTACCACCAGATACCATTGAATCTAACCCTGATGACCGAGGTGGACTGCCATGATTGGCATGTTCCACCGGAATCTCTGTTCTAGCTGAGTCTAGGTCGTCCCCCAAGGGAGAGCAATGAGGGGATAACCCGGATATGCGAAAGTCGCTGCTGTCTCGGGAGCGGAAGACACCCATCGTTGACCGCAAACGGAAGGAAGACTGTGATGAGGGATCACCTCACACAGACAGTCTACCACTGTATTTTCCAGATCACCACCGGGAGGGGGAATTAAGCCCGCAGGCTGTGAAGCTTGTGATCGTTTGGCGACAAAAGAGGCGCGAGGAGGGGAGATGATAGCAGATGACGCAAGAATTTAATCGGCACAGCAGCTGTTGGCATTGCCTTGCGATTGGGGGAGCTGGATGAGGGGAAGAAGGTCAAAGTCAGATGTCAGAAGGGAAAAGAAAAGCAGACTCCTGAAGATGCAGGCCAGAAAGGTCCGGGAGGGACTCAATGAGGCCCAGACATGGCTTCCAGGATCGTTATCAAAGCTCGCGGGCGGAAGTGACTAAAAAAGCCTTATCACGGACAAGACACTACTGTCGCCGGTCCACCATTCTGACGGGCCCGATCTCAACCGGAGGACCTTAGAGGTCTAGGAGCGGTCGCTAGCGGACGAACACGAATTGGTCTTGGGTTAGTTAGTACCTTTGAGAGGGGAAGTTTGTCGTTAGTGTCACAACTTTGCTGCAGGCGAGAGCAAAGGAGCTTGGATGCACGAGTGCCGATGATAGGCCCGATGCTCCCCTCTGCTCAAACACCATTAGGTAAGCACTGCCGCCGCCGTCAACGGTGCTGCAGCTACTGCGAGGCTAGATAGTCTAGATAGATCTATTTGGTGATATATAAATTACTCTACGTAATCAATACGATAATAGCTTCTGCTAATGCGCCACACGTATGCAATTTTGGTCCGATTTTTGAACACAAAGATGAAAAAAAAATGGATCCTTGAAAAAAAGAAAACAACGCTACACAGCATATCCTAGCTAGACCGTCCTTTACTATACTCCGTTCAGAGGCATCAATCATTGGGGTATCATAAGACATAAATTGCATGATCTGAAACTCATCATCCTCCATCAACTCAGACGCTCCAGAAACCCCTGCGCGATTAATCGTTCCACATCCCCTTGCCGCACGTAGAGTTGACTGTTTTTCGTCAAATTGATCACCCTATATGCAATGTCAGCATTCCAACCCGCCGATCAACAATACGCGCGAGGGAAAATATAGAAAATGCCTCACATACCCATACTCAGTCTGAATCTCCCCCGCATCCTTCAAGACTCTCACGTCTATGAAGAGATCCTTCGGGGGCTCCAGGCTTCCCGTAAGATCAATATCCGTCCACTGTCCCTTATACGCCGCCAGAAGATCGCTATATTGTCGGAAGTATTCTTCTTCTTCCGGACTCAACGAACTGTGGTTTCCACTCGCAGTGCCCATCGCTGCATATCCCCCGTTCCCCTGGCCTGATGCACCTGCAGCCCCTTCATCTGCCGTCGGTAGCTGCTGTTCGAGCAAATCAACGCCGTTCCAGCATAGCTCCTCGAGCTTTTCAGCGCGGACACGGTGGTAGGCAAGAAGACATCGTTTGTTGCGGCGCATGCAGAGATGATCCACTAAGAGGGCACAGGCAACGGCTGGTTCTTGTGACGGATTGAAACTGCCCTCGAATGGACCGAGGAGGTGTGCGACATCACGGTCGAGGTCGCGTACTTCGCGGGCTACGGAACGGACCAATTCGGTTTGGTAGGGAGGGAGATGGGTGAGAGCTTGAGTGCGCTTGGCATGTTGAACCTGTTTGTGGGTTTCGTCAGGACGGGTTATTCATAAAGCATGGCTCATTAGAAAAGCACATACAAGCTTGTTTCCGTGTTCGCCGTACATGACGATTGGGGACGACCTCAGAGGAATGTTCCGGCTTTCGGGTGATGTACATGCGCCGTTGGCCGTATATGAGAATTGTACTAGTAATAATGTAGACTTGACAAAGATGGATCTCACACTATAAGCATGTAAGCCCGATAAGTTGCTGTAGAGTGTTTATTCAAGGTTAAAGGTCAATTGTGTCAGGGAAGCGTCGCGCGGATCGCCAGGCCGCGCCCGATCGAAGATCTACACGTGACGGACGGATCGCGTTCCTGCCAAGCCGCCTTTCGACGTGATATATTGAACCCAAACTTGACATCAGCGACAAATTTTTGAAGATGGTTCCTCTCAACATGTTTCTAGATAAGCAGGATCAGACATTCCCCCAGGAGTATGTCTGGAGGCGCCGAAAAAGGGAATGCCCTCTTGACCTCGGTGCTCTGAAATGACCTCAAGCATACCATGCCCCGAAAACCCGACTGATGCTATAGATTGTGAGCCAGTGGAAGTCCCCTTGGTAGTATCATCGTTCCATTATACACAGCATACCATCTGCCAGAATGTAGATCTATGGAAGAAGCCGAAGCGCAGAAAGATCAAAGATTCATTCTCGTTTTATCTTCAATCCCTCCCTTCCTCAAACGATAACCAAGGCGCGCATCCAATACTACTTCTCCGCCAGCTGCGGAGGTGCTCTCCATTCGTCAGACACCAGACAGAACACGCCACAAGTCAGACATGTGTCGCTCTGCAATTTCCGTTAAAGTTGAAGAAATATTCCATTCTACTGACTCAGGCTATGGTATAGTAGTGCTTGGTGGAATCATGATATTGCTAAAACGGTGGTCATATGTCGAGAATCTCAGTGGCCCTTGATAACCTCCGAGTGTCATTCTCTGACGGCTGTTCAAAATCGAACCTACTTCCTGGGTCCTCTGAAGTTAGTATAATGGCACGGAAATTGCATAAAGAAAATAGTTATATGTCCGAGAAATCCTCCAAGACGATTTAAACTAATGCCGATGTAGGCCATCTACAGCCTTAACGGCTTTGTCTGTCGCACAATGTGTCATGAAAACCATAGAAGGAGAGAAGCAGTAGCACACAGAAAGGCCCAAAGAGCCTTGGACTGAATTCATCGATAGGATTATTCCGAAAACAACCCCTTTGTTTCTGGGGAGATTTCGATGTAGGAAAGGATAGAATATTCTGAATTTCCCAGAGATATCAGCAGGAAAGGAACTCCTTATATACCCAATTAGAAATGTATCAACACTCTTGTTTAGAGCGGGATACTCATCCTAATCACAGAAATGCGCTGTTACGGACGAAGGTTATGCGCCATCATCGCGCGTCTTCTGGATCATGCAAAGATCCCTAATGTCCTCTGGAACGAGTACATGCTTTCTTACTATGGGGCTTTTATGCAAGAGGTAAGGATTCCATCCCCATAATTATGGAATCAACAATAACTAACAAGCTCAAGCCCCACGACATATCCTACATCGTCCCCAATAGACTGATCAATGCTGCGTATCGAACTCTCCAAGCTGCGGGGTTCTCAGCCTGTCCTGAGAGCGATGTCGAAGCTTGCGAACGCTTCCAATGCCCTGAAGACGGAATGATACCAGCAAGACACTTTCATATCCAGAGCTACTGGATTGTTCCCGCGCGCACATACTACCTGAAGCTATACGGACACGCGGAAACCCTTTTCTCCTTTCCGGAACCCACTCTGAATGACCCGTCACGACATGATAAGTACTACATGTTAACTAGGGATGAACGCCTCCCTACTCAAATCGGGCCACTGCACGATGAGACTTTGATGCTATACGTCGAGCTGAATAAAAGAGCATCCGGGGACCCTTACGAGCTGGAAAGATATAAGATCAAGATCCCGAACCTCACCATGCTCATTCACGCTCTCATCCTCTTACGCTGCCGAGACGAGGGCTACAATAGTCACTGTGATGATGATTGGTATCGGATGCTCTCCTCTATCCGTTGGTATGTCATCGAGCGGGGGAAAATGCAGATCGACAGGCTGGAAGCGGTCATCCAGCCGATTTGGGATAAGCTAGAAATACAGTACGGGAATCTTTGGATAAGAGCTCTGCGGAAGAAGCTTAGGAGGGAGGGCGTCCTGCCGCCTCCGTTCGTTGATCGGGCCTGTAGGTGCTTCCGCGAATTGGATGAGTGATTTCTGGCAATTGTTGAGATGATATAGTCTTGCTTTTGCAGAAAAATATTCTAGCCAGCTGGGTTTAGTCCACTAGCCCTCTTCAGCTAATCTAGGATACTTATGGTGACAAACTGAATAGTAGTCTATTCGCTAGGTTGATGTATTCGACTGACACCATATTTGCCAGACTTCAAGCGCCACTAGGGACCAACCCACCAAAAAGAGTCCAAATCTCTCTTACCTAAAGCCTCCAAGAAAGGTAGCAGTAAGCCCCAAATAACAAATACACACCGCCATGAACTGTTCCACACTTCTACCAAGCCATCTGTATGTTTTATTTAGCCCATGCAGAGAGAACTCATTCAAGACTTGAGGAACCAGTTCACATCCAATATATCCAGTGCTAGGTCCTTAAGACTCTTACTCTAGATATTCTATGTTTGCGATAGCAATCTCAGCATCTATTTACTCAGTAGCTCTCCTATATCATGGTAACGATGCGCAAGACAGTCTCCAAAAGCTACCAGCAAATAATCTCGGGGCCAGGAAAGTGAAGACTCTTCCATGACCTCACAGAACATGTATCTATTTGGAGAACATGTTTCAGATCTGAAGATACATAGCAAACAGAAATAGACCATATCTGAAGTATCCAACTACTGAACAAAGACTGTGAGACCTCTATGAAGATTCACAATAGAACAAACGACAAGCTCAATAGACAAAAAAAAAGGCCCAGGTGATCTTCTAAGACCATTGCACAGCCCCCTTTGGCGTAATAATCAACTAACACGAACAAGGGAAAACAAGCTGAAAGAAACCATTCATAGTTCTTCACTTTGGAGGTACTATTTTGGATGATGGTGTTGAATAGCCGATAACAAAGAGATACATAAATAGCTGGCAGAAGATGAAATAAAAGGCATGAATGGGGATGTAATGAAAGACTTGTTTGGAATAAGAATAGAGGGGTGAATAAGTGTCTTAGAACAATTGCTTACTGTGTAGAGTGTGATTCTAGGGGTCAGAGAAGCAGTGGGCTGGTGTTTGGTAACACACATTGAAGAGTCAATAGGATAATTAATGTGATTAGAATCGCTATATTCACTAAGATAGTCCCTGAAAGGAGGAAGGATAGGAAGGATTATCCGATAGCTACAATTCATGACACAATATAAATGCTATTGATAGGCTATTAACACACCGTAATGTCTCAGATATGATATGTCCACTAGAAGGAATATCAGAAGGTCCAATGCGTGCCGTTAAAGTTCAGCATACTAGGGACAGCCTCGATTTTCTCAGCACATGATAAGAGAAAGTAAACTCGATTGGAATATGGTGGTATCCTCCTGTTATAATGCAATGCCCAAGTGATCTAATGCATCAAATCCCGTAACTACCATGAGATATGCACAGTAGTGCCAACAAAACTGCCTCCCACAAAGCACATGTCCATATCCATATCCATATCCATGAACGTATCCCAAAACATGCCCCATGACCCAAAGAAAAAAAAAACCGAAAGATGGAACCTAGTAAATAGTGCAGCAAAGGCAAACCTAAGACCAAAATCACCGACAACAGAGCGCCGGGCCATATCCAATAGAGAAACCCACGCCTTCAACAAGAACTCCGCTTTGAGGGGCAAGAAACAAATAAACAAACTTCCATCCCGGATAAGAAGGAAAAAAGGAAAAAACAAGGTAAGGAAAAACATCAAATAAACTAGTATGTATTAGCATATGAAGTGGTGGAGGGTATTTCACTTTGTCTGTTCAACGATTACTGATTCTGAGATGACACTTAGTATGTTGTGCCCTGCTGGTTAATCCAGGTGTCAAAATCCCCACTGGTACCATCAAGGGCAGGGTCGCTCTCTAGGGTGTGTATTCCCTGTGGGTAGGTCGACGCGGGGTAAGGGATTGAGTAAGGTGCCAATGAAGACGAGGGAGAGGCGTAGCAGTTGACATTAGAAGAGTCTTGCCACATACTGTGAGAGCTGTCAAAGAGCTGATTCGGGCTCTGGAGCTCGACCTGCAGGGTCAAGAGCTGGGGATCCAGTTGTCCATCACCTGGCAACGAAGTGGACGGTTGAAGAAGATCATGGTGTGTAGCACCGGGTAGAGCAGCCAGTGGAGTTGACGAGGATGTAGCATATTGGATTCCGTTCAAACCAGTCTTCTTGAATCGGACATCCTCTACGTGCGGGACGAGACCTGCATGAATCGTTTGATGGAGGTAGTGAGATGGTTCAGAGGAGGGAATCATGCCAGGGTGCGGCCGCCCATGGTTAGCATGCCAGGCAGATGAAGATAGGTAGGCATCCCCAGGCAAGTGTAAACCATGGTCAGCAAAGTCAAACGGAGTCGAGTCCCTACTTTCCCATCCACTACTGTCAATTTCCGAAGAGCTTGCGGCACGGGTTTGAAGAAACGCTGAAGTGGATCCAGGGGTGCTGGCCAGTGGACGCACATCTTCGCTCCCAGCTCGTTTCTTCTTATCCTTTGACGGCGAGAACTTGTATCCAGGATGCGCCTTAAGGTGATTACTCTTCTCGATATTCGCCAGAAGCTCGTACTTCTGTCGGATTTCTGGGGATTCAAGCCTCCAGCTGTCACCCGCTGCTTCGGAAACCACTTGATGATTGTTCTGCGCAAACCATTGCTTTGTCCGGTCTGCATATGCCGATCGATAAAGCATGAAAGAATTCATGGGCCTGGCAACCTTTCCGTTCCTCTTGGCTACCTCTTGGTGACGAACCTCTATTGAGCGATTCACCCAACGTTCCATGTCGCGAATAGGGATGTTCGTCAAATGCTTGGTCACTTCA